AGTTTCACTGCCCTAAAAATCCCCTGTGTGCCACCTGTTCATCCCTTTCCCTCTCTCCCTGCTCTTCAAACCCCTGGCAACCACTATTCTATCCACTGTCTATTTACTGTCTCTAGAGTTTTCCCTTTTCCAGAATGTCATACAGTTGGAATCCTACAGTATATAATCTTTTCAGACTGGCTTCTTTCACTTAGTAATATGTGCTTAAGTTTCCTCCATGTCTTTTCATTGCTTAATAGCTCATTTCTCTTTAACATTATATCCCATTGATCTGAGTAGTATTCCACTGAAGGGATGTACCAGAGTTTATTTATCCATTCATCTACTGAAAGGTATCTTGGTTGCTTCCAATATTTGTTAATTATGAATAAAACTGCTATAAACATTCATGTGCAGGTTTCTGTCTAGACATAAGTTTCAACTAATTTGGGTAACTACCTAGGAGTGCAATTGTTGGATCATATGGTAAGAGTGTGTTTAACTTTGTAAGAAACTGCTAAACTGTCTTCCAACATGGTTGTACCATTTTGCATTCTTACCACCACTGGATGAGATTCCTGTTGCTCCACATCCTTGTCAACATTTGGTGTTGTTAGTGTTTTGGATTTTAGCCACTCTAACAGGTGTACATTGGTATCTTGTTTTAATTTGCAATTCTGTATTGACATCATGTTGAGCATATTTCATATGCATTTTGTCTCAAAATCCTCCTCTCCTTAGCATTACATTACATGGTGCTCCTACCTCTACCCTACAGTCTTTTCTTTAGGGAGTGTAGTTATGGTCTTCCCCATTGCCACTCTGCTTTCTCTGGCCCTCGTCCCTTGAGGCCTGAATAAGAGGCATTAGCCTCTTATTCTCCCTGAGGTCATTCTGTCCTCTCCAATATCTGTTGCATGTCACCATCAGGTGAATCCCCAGTTTTCACCATTCATTCATTCATTTAAACCATTATTGAACACCTATTGTGTATAGCAGTAGATTATATGAGGGGAAATCTCCAAAAGATTAAGACATGATCTGGAAGAATACATAGGCTGGAGAGGTAGGCACTTGGTCAGAATTGTGGAAGGCCTTATAAGCTACAGGAAGGAGTTGTACATTTATTTTAATGTCAATGGAAACCTTTGAAGTAGGTTTCCTTGAAAAAGGGGGTGACTTGATCAGATATACATTAAGAAAGATCACTCACAGTGGTGTGGAGAAAGTAGTGGGCATGATGGGAGGGTGGACAAGAGAAATAGCAATGCAAGTGAGGACAAATGGACACATTTGAGCCATAGTTAGCGAATGGAATCAGCAGAATGTAGGGGGCGGGGATATTAATATTTTTAATAATGACTCTGGCTGATGTTTATGGAGAGAGAAAGATTATATCCACAAATACAGGCAAAATTGGGGGG